ATGAAAGCATGGCTGATACACCAGAAGGCTGGCTGTGCTACCATTCAGCAAGACCTGGACAGGCTTGAAAGTTGGGCTGAGGGGAACCTGATGAAGTTCAACAAGGGCAAGTGTAGGGTCCTGCACCTTGGGAGGAATAACCCCATGCACCAGTACAGGCTGGGAGTTGACCTGCTGGAGAGCAGCTTGGCGGTGAAGGACCTGGGAGTGCTGGTGAACAACAAGTTGTCCATGAGCCAGCAGTGTGCCCTCGTGGCCAAGAAGGCCAATGGTATCTTGGGGATCATGAGGAAGAGTGTGACCAGCAGCTCAAGGGAGGTTATCCTCCCCCTCTGCTCTGCCCTGATGAGACCACATCTGGAGTGCTGTGTCCGGTTCTGGGCTCCCTAGTTCAAGAAAAACAAGGAAGTATGGAAGAGAGTCCGGTGGGGAACAATGAAGATGATGAGGGGACTGGAGCATCTCCCTTATGAGGAAGGGCTGAGGGAATGGGGTCTGCTCAGCCTGCAGAAGAGAAGACTGTGAGGGGATCTCATCAATGCTTATAAATACCTTAAGGGCGGATGTCAAGAGGATGGGGCCAGACTCTTCAGTGGTGCCCAGCGACAGGTTAAGGGGCAACAGACACAAACTGAAACTAGGAAGTTCCATCTGAACATGAGGAAGAACTTCTGTATTTTGAGGGTGGCAGAGCCCTGGAAGAGGCTGCCCAGAGAGGCTGTAGAGTCTTCTTCCCTGGAGATACTCAAAACCTGCCTGGACGTGTTCCTGTGCAACTTGCTGTAGGTGACCCTTCTTTGGCAAGGGAGGTCAGACTGGATGATCTCCAGAGGTCCCTTCCAACCCTGACCATTCTGTGATTGTGATAGCATTACCATGGTGGGAGTCCTGGGACACCACCGCTTAATCAAAGGGTGACTCAATGCAACAGAATCCTGCCTGGGAGTGAAGCTCAAAGGAATGCACTGCAGGGATAGATAATAAAACTTGTGCTGATACGTTTACCATAGATGGCAATGTCTTGTTTTGCTCATTAGTGAACTCGCTGATGTAATGCAGGTACTGTTGTCTGAATTCCGAGATCCACAGCTGGCCATCAGGTTGGCAGTCATGCAAAGGTGGGTGCAGATGAGGGGGTGAAGTGAACTGTGTTGGGTTACTCTGTCAATGAGATAAAACGTGCTTGGGACTCTACATACTCGAGTGGAAAGAAGTGAAGAACTATCCTAGGTTACCGTAACAAAGTCTTCTTGCACCATACAGTATCTCTCTTCTCAGGGACTCTTTCAGATGTATTTTACTGAAGGCATATTCTCTCAGAGGCTTCTTTGCCTTCTATTGTCTTGACAGTCATCTGAAAAATTACTTTGAGTTTGGCCAAGCCAGGTGAAAGAATCTCCTGATTATCTGTGGGGAGTCATAGGGCATTGCTCTGTTCTTGGTCTGCTTACATTAGACTTGGTAGACAGCTGGTTGACAGCCAGCGTTCAGTATTTCTACAATGTAGACTGTCAGCAGCACTCAGAACTAGAGGATGGAATTTCATTGTGTGTTAGAGATGTCCTGGTCAGGAGGAGGGGGAGGAGCTCTGCTAGCATCCCTTTTCCATCATGTGGAAAGATTCTTTCCTATGAGGAAGAACATAACTTTCTCCTTAGCAAGCATTTTTACTAACATTTTGAATTACGTCTTGGAGGAATGTGACCTTTAGATATTGCACAGCTAAGGTCAGTCAGACAAAAATACCTGCATTGCACACAAGATCATTTACTTTCTTATGTTTGTGAAGGGGATATTGTTATCTCTTGCCCTCTTCCTTCTACTTCTTTTAAAAGCTGATGTTTCAATGGTGTTTGACTTGTGCCCTTACATTGATGGAATAAAAGCATAAGCTGTTTCCTCCCTTCTTGGCAGGAAGGTCATTTTACTGGTATTTTCATTTTGGCTGGAAGGATTGGAGGTACCTCAGTTATTACAACTGTCTCTTTCCATTCTGCTTCCTGCTGCCACTGCCCCGCACTTCCAGATGAGCTAGCAGTCTGTACCAATCCAGGATTGGCACCTCAGATGGCTTCTGAGTTTCAGTAGTCAGAATATGAATCTACTTGCCTTTTTTTTCTTTTTTTCCTTTTTTTTTTTTTTTCTTAAGCCATGCTGTTCAAGGGCTGAAGCCATTCTGAGTGCCTTGCGTGTTACACCAATGTCGCTTTTTTTGCTTCTGGGACAAAAAATTTTGATTGTGTCTAGCTGAGAAGTCAAAGCAATAATTTATTCTGATATAGATTATCTAATTGGAGAACTGCAGAAGACCTTTTAGAAATGGTAACATGAAACTGCCAGTGTTGATTCTAGTATATTCCACTACAGTTGAAGTGACTGAAATCTTCTGTTTGGAGTTCTTTTCATGTACCTAGCGTTGTATATGTGTTGAAAAAAAATACATTTGGAATCGTAGCCTTTTAGCATTCCCTCTCTATTGCAGCAGATGTGTTTGGATCCTTTCTTATGTAATTATGACTCATCTAGGCAAGCATGTAAAGAAGAAAGTTGCTTGTTTGAAACTGCATGTAAAGATCCCTAGTCTGTATGTACAATTCCCAGCTCTTCCTACTCAAGGTTCTTTTGAGCCCCTTATTCCTTTAGGATTCTGGAAGCTGGGGAGATCATTCACTGTGCCTTTATGACAACAGGTGTGCAATAGGAAGGGCTAGGGTTCTGGGCATGCTACCACAGATAAAGATTTTTGTGGCTGAAAGTGCTACAAATAGGGATGCTTGCAATATGAAAGTGTATGGAAAAAGGTTTTGGTAAATAATTTCAAGTAAAGAATCATTTTATCCTGGAAGAAGGAAGAGGATAGCAAATACTAAAACAGTCTTTGGTAAACAGGAGTGAGATGTGTTGATTTTGCTTAGAGAACTGTCCTTTCGGTGTCTTTGGAATTCTGCCTACTTTGCTCCTATTCATGAGAAGATTCGTGAGAGTGGAATGTTAATTCTGTAAAGTCATCCTCATTCTCACTTAGTTCAGTAATCAGGATTTATAAGGAGTTGTTACATGATTGCTCCTTACAAATGTGAATGTTAGGAGTCATCCTACTATTATTCTGTCTTACCGTAATTGCATCTGAATCCAGGAAGAAAACTAACTTCTTGTATCTTTGGAGGAATGTTCTTTGTGGGTGGATCCACATGAATGTAGTTATGTCTTAGAGGAGCAAAAGGCAATCAGTGATTAAGAAGAACAAAATATATCTTGAAAGACTATTTTGCTTGGTAAAAGGTTCCTATTTTACAAGGACCTTCAGTCTAGAGAAACTGTTGCTTGTAGGGGGCTAGGCATCCTGCTCTAGGAGAGATGTTGATAGGAGTGGGCTTCTGCTAGCCTCCTGAAGCTTTGATGATAGGCTTACCTTCACAGCTTTTGAAAAACATAACATGGATTAACAATGAAAGAAATTATGTTGTTAGTGTAATGGTTAAGTATACAAAGTAATCCCACAGGGAATCTCTTAGGGTTTAGTATGCTAGCTTTGGGAGGAGCCACGTGAGGTGCTGACAGCTTTGTCAGCCAGTCCCCTGTTGCCAATTTTTACCTGTAGCTTTTAACGCTTCTCTATGAGATGCTTTTTTCTGAGATGCTTCGGTTTGTAGCAGTCAGATAAAAAAAAAATCTTGGTCAGGAAATGCAGGTTGGTCTTGAGCATGACTATGAGAGTATACTCCTTGTGCCAGTGGCCTACAGCTGCTCAGCCCATAATTGCACAGCGCACTGCAGCAGTCTTGGTGGCACAGTGATATGAACCAGGATAATGAGGGCTATGAATAGGCACCAAGTATTGAAAAGAATAGACATGCTTTAGATTTGCATTTCAAGAGTGTCAAGGCAGTCTATAATCTGGATCATTTCCAGTTTGTGAACATCATTACCCTTTAGCATTATGATGGTTAACGTAAGGAGTCTCCAATCCAATTGATAGCAAACCTAGGTGTGCCTGTCACTGCAGTGCAGTTGTCTTGTCACACACAGGATTTCCTCTTCGCAATCCGTCCTGCATTCATAATGTGAAAATACCATAAATCTTGGTCGGATTTCTTAATTGGAAGGAACAGTCCTAAAATCACAGCTTTATTAATTTACCAGCACTGAGCTGATTGGTTAAGAGAGATGGTAAGACCTAATCAGTTTATAAATGTTTATTTTTGTATCTTCATACATCTGAAAAATCTCTCTCTCCTCCCTGCCCCACTTTGTGTTCAGTATTGCTCTCACACTGGTATTCTTCATAGCCAGATATGTACTGAGTTTGGGAAACATCTTCATGAATGTTGCTTTCTTTACACTGAAGTTCTTCTTTTACTGCTAACCAACACCCTCCTGAAACGCATAAGCAAGAAAATTGCTATTTAATAAGATACCAATTTGAAGAATAATGTCCTAGTCAATAGCTAGATATTGTCACCTTTAAATTAATTAAAGTAGATTATTCTGGTTTATATAGCACTAACTTATTCTGGACATGAAGCAATACTAAATTGGTCTTCTACAAGACAGGTAAACTTGTAACATGAGAGGATAATGAAAAGGAAAATACAGGTGGTGCTTAAGACTGTAGGTAACTTATTTTTCTCAGCAATTTCCCACACTAAGACTTTTTTTTCCTCACATCCTTAGATATGGTGAAGACTGTCTGTATTCTAGTAGAATGTCTTATAACAGGGTACATGATAATAAAAAAACCCTGGAATTTTAAAATTTGTTCTTTCCTCTATATAAAGTTGGAGCAGCCTGGTCAAATGAGGTACTACTGCTGTGTTTATCCTGACATGTATAAAATGCATTTTTATTAACCTGCTTTCTCACCACTTCTGAGTAAATGGAAAAACTTAGTTTGGTTGGAGGTGTGGTAAGAAACAAGGCAAGAGCACTTATTCTAGGTTTGCAAATTAGCTCCTTTATTTACTTCAAGTCATTTTTATCTTTAATTTTTTTATCCACAGATGGTAATAGTGGTTGGAGATGTCCAGCTTGTCAGAATGCTTCTACGCAAGTTCCTAAAACTTATACTTGTTTCTGTGGTGAGTTTCCTGTTTGCTTTTGCAAAGAAAAACAGTTTTGTCATTTTGATTCTTTTTTTTTTTTTTTTTTAAATTGAATTCTGATATTGCTGCTTGCTTGCCTGCATCCCTGAAATTTAGCCTTATTTAAAACTTCATTGACACTGGAAGGTGGCTGCGCAGAGAATCACACATATGTTGCTTAAAACATTTTGAAAATGAAATATTAAATCATAAGTGATAAATATTTTCATATCACTATGTAAAAACAGTGATTTTTATAGAATAATGGTAGAATTGAGCTGCTATCCTACAGGCTTTCCTTCTGTAGGAGGACTGAAATAACCTGCATTTGTTATGTCTTTCTTTGTGGCAAGATACACCAAAATTAAAATATACAGTTCAAGCATACAACTAAGCCTTTAAATTGATTTAGTAATTTTGTCATTTGTCATTTATGTTGATTGGCATCACACACAGGTTAAATAGGAAATAATGTTGAGACTTTTCAGACTTTTATGTAGATACATGTTTAATAAGAGAGCTAAATGAAGTGAGTACAACATTCACTAAGCCATAAGTATATGACAAAAAGGGAGAAATTAATTGTTACTTAATTGCATACATGCAAATAAATTTTGTTTGGGTTTTACGCTTTTGAAATTTGTGTTGATTTCATGTAGCTTTCCCTTCCTTAAGTCAGAGTCACTGGAGAGTTTCACCTTGCTTTCTACAAAACAGAATATTCTGGAATTGAGACAGGAACTGGGAGTCAGTGAGCTGCCCTAAAGAAACTAGACTTGTGCTGTGTTAGGTAACAGTTTTATCTAAAGTTCTCTTTATCTAAATGTGTTAGTGAGTCAGTTAGGAACAGTGCAATGCAGGTAAGACAGAGTTTTTGTATGACAGTGTGTGAAATCTTACGAGTATAGGGATAATAGTTCAGTTAGTTAGAATGAATGTTTTGATTCCAAATGAAAATTACACTTTTAAGATAGGTTGTCCATCTGTTAAATAGGAAAGAAATTCTACCTAATCTTCATAGTTTTGGGACCTCTACAGTAGGAACCTCAAGTTGTCCACAGGGTTAATATTAGCAGAGCACCGTGTTGGAACATAGGAATTTAATCTTCTATAGATAATTTTACGTTAATGATATGGCATTTGGACATCACCAGTTGCTTATGCAAAGCTATCTTCTATTTGATGCAAAATACTAGCTATGTGTTAAGTATGGTTGAATCTTCTAATTTTCAGGATTTTCCTGGGTATTCAATTAGTTTAATTGAAACTCAGGTGAATAAATGCCATCTTTGGTGTTTATTTGTATTTTCCTAAGTTGCTACTTGTAGAATATACAGAGGTGTACTAAAGGCGTTGAAATTGCATAACTATGTCACCAAAAATACATTTTCTTGGCGTTTTTAAATGTTGCGACTCAAATGTGTAACATTGGCTCAGTTGCTTCATTGTTAATTTAATTCCTCTCTTGCAGAGAGCCAAATTAGGTTCGTATCTGTTAACCATGGCAATTAACTTTAACCTTGATGATCATCTCGTGCACTTAGAGCTATGAGATTTGCTAACAGTATGTCAGATTAATTAAAATACAGTTTCAGTGCTTATCTGAAATACAGAATACTCAAAGCTAACATACTGGATTTATCACTTCTTGTTGAAGACTTCCTACTGGATTCATCAAAATGTCAGCTTTTACTCTTTGGATTTATGTAAAGTCTGCTTCTTTTTAGAGAAGTGACTTTTATAATTTGCCCAGTCATTTCATTCTGCCCCTATTCCCCATCACCTTACCGGCGAGATCTTATTTGCATTGTGGCAGCAAGGGAGTTTTACCCTTTAATTTTCTTACTTACTGTGCAGCCTGACCAGCTAAAGAGGGCTTTTAATTTTCTTGTATTTTATCAGTTTTAAATAAATGTAAAACATCAGCTACCTAAATGACTGCTGAGAGTGCAGAAGGAAAGAATCTTCTGGAGCTTGATACTGTAGTGGCACTTATTTTTAAAGAAGTTAAGTATGTATCAGCACTGAAAGCAGAGAAAAACATAAAACATCTTGTGTCATTTTGCTTTTCAAAGACTACTGCCAGTATTGAAAGTACAGCTTTTTCTTTTTGGTGTGATATTTTTCCCAAATGCAGTATTTTACTCAAAGCAATAAATGTGTTTTTGTCTTTGGCATGGTTTAGGTAAGGTGCACAATCCTGAATGGAATAGAAATGAAATACCACATAGCTGTGGGGAACTTTGTGGAAAGAAGAGACAGTGTTTGGACTGTCCACATCTTTGTAACATGTAAGTAAATGTTTATCATAGAGAAAATTTCTGAAGGCTGTATTTGGATATTTTTTGACTATAGGATATACTTAGAGGTGTATTTGGTTTATAGCTCAACTGAAGCCTGGAAGAAGTGGAGGCTATTTGTGTTTATATGTCTAAAGTGAGTTCATATGAGAGAATGAACAGGAGGTCAATAACAATACTTGTAGCCACATCTCTGTTGTATTTTGGGAACTGAACCAGCTGCCTGACTTGGTTTCAACCACTTTCATTGGAGTAGAGAAATAATAGTGAGTAGAAGTAATTTTAAACATGTATCCAGTGGTCCACCAGATGTTTTAAGTGTTGCATTTTCTGTAGTAGTGTTTATCTATCTTAACCTAAGAGCAGTGGTACTTCTTTAAACTGAAGGACCGGTTACTTCTGTCCTTTGTTTCTTTTTCTTTTCTTTGGCTTACAAACTGTTGAGGATAAGAGGGCAGTATATGTATTCATCTGTTTGTTGAGGCCACCAGATGGTTGAACCAGAATGCCTCATGGGGATCTTAATCAGTATATGTAACTCAGATTGGTTTTGCTAACAGTGTTAGTATAATTCAATGAAGAGAGGCAAGGAGGAGCAATTCTATTTTCAATTTTGGATATTTTCCTTTAGATCTTCTTTTAGCAGTGTGGTAGTATTATATCGATAAGGTTAGCAGTATTAGGTGAGCTTTTTCAATGTATAAATATGCTTGCTAGTCAGAAAAATAAATTACATGTTCCTAGTGTATCTAGCTTCATTTTCCATGTATGGAAGTTGGTCCATAATGCCTGTTCATATTTCTGTTTTGAGAAATTTTCAATATTCAGAAGCAGTTGTTTCTGCTCTTGCTACATGATCGAAAACTTCAGTCATTCCAACAAATAGATTGCCATCTTACACTTTTTCCAAGGTTTACTAAAACTCAGAACTTAACCAGAACTTTACTGTGAGCTTTTGATTTAATGTGTTCTGTTTCAAACCTATTTCAACATCTTGTTGAATGAAATAATATTTCTTTACTCTTTAATAATTCTTTCCCGCAAGTCAAAATATATTAGATTTCTTTTCAGACTGTCATTTCAGTGCTATAACTGTTTTCTTAAGTCATCTTCATACTAGACCCTCTTCACTGTGGTTTGCAGGGTAAAACTGAAACACAGATCAGCTTTCAGACTACGCTTGATGTAGCTGATACCCTGACTCAGCAGAACACCGAGTCTCTTGTAGGCTAGCTGCTGGCCTCCATCTCAGGGGAGGGGTATGTCCATGAAGGACTTTTTTACCTACTCAGAAATCATTAAACTTCTTAACTACTTTGAGAACTCCCCAAATGCAGTTTGCTACCTGACAGACTTTCCTATAACGCTTGATGAAACAGCTGTTCTTTTCCCCTTCTTTCCTGTCCCAGTCTACAGCAGACGCTCAGTCTTTGGCATTCTCTTCTGGGAGGTCTTCTGAACAGTGGTGGCAATATTGTGCCTGTTGCAAGCTATGAATTTGTAGTCCCTGATGGTCTGATCTGCATCAAGAGCTGTGAATGGGACCTTTTAAAGTCCCATTTTGCTACCAGTTTAAGTTGTAGCAAGTTTAAATTGTTATCATTCAGCTTATTCCGCGTGAATCAAACCATGCTGAGGTGATCCAGTCCTGGAGGTAAAGAAACAGCACTTTCAGCATCAGTGTTACCCAGTTTTGGACATTCTTCAATATATGTTGGACACTTCTGAATTGCAGTATTGTCTGAGTTTTTAGAAACCACACACTGTATAGCTACACTGCAGCTATTGATGTAACGCTGCCAGGATCAAACCAACTAATCCCCTTTCCTCCTCGTATGTGACATCAGAGGAACATTGCTCTCCTTGCTTTGCATTAGGATGCTTGTATTTGATCCCTCTGCCATGTAGATGAAATGTGCAGAGTACAGGAGGTGTTGTAAGTAAGTTGTTGTAGTAATTGTTGGTGGTCTAAATTTAAGCCTACATCCTGCTGACTGCCTTCTGTATGCATTGTGTTATGCTATATGCTAGGCATGTGCGAACGATTGTCCCCTGTGGAATGAGCACCTCTGAGACTGATGTGACTGGTGATGTAATCTTTTGGTGGTGCCAGTTGTGCTAGTCCAAGGGCTGCTTAGGTGGTTACATTAAGACTAATATAATATGAAGTAACAAGTTGAAATGGATCAGTGGATTAAGTTACCTGAGAATCTGTTTTCCCCTTGAAACTGAGTAAGCATCAGACTCTTGTGGCTGAGGAGAAAGAATTGGATTAAAAATCATGGGAAAAGATTTGGATCCTTTAATACTTTGTAGAGTGATTAGTTTTATCAAGAAAATATTGGAAATATGGGGATTTCCTCCCTGCTGCTTTCCCTGAGTAGGAAATGAGACCTTCAATTAAATCAGAAGGTGGGAAATTCAGTATGCATCAAATGCATTCTGCTAGGCAGGGCATCTCCTTGCAAGAAATTGATGCAAATAATTAATAAGATTCAAAAGAGAACAGATCCTGATATGGGTAATAAGAATGTCTAGAGCTCTTAGCATCACATAGACGCTTTTGGAAAGGATATTAAAGCTCACACCCTCGTTGAGAGAGATTAGGATGACAGCCAGGGTCAAGCAAGAAGTGTATTATAAGTGAGGAGGTCTAATTAGTCATAGTTTTCCACTTTGCAGTGTTAGATCATCATTTTTGAGGCCTTTGTCTCTAAGCACTGTGTAAAATGATGCAATGAGACATAAGCAACCTACGTATTTTCAGTTTGAATCAGAGCTATGTTTTCTTAGATTTTGTGACCCTGGTGGTTATGCCTTTCAAATTATTTGACATCTCTTTTACACTTGTAAGGAATATCTGAAATTGGTGTTCAAATTTTAAAAATGAGCTTACAGAGGCACAGCAATTCTTCAGCCTACTGTTGCCTGTAACCAGCTTACACCTTTATATAACCAGAACAAATGATTTTCTACTGAAGCACTATTTTGGTTATTCATTTATATTGTGGGGTTTTGGTGTTTTGTTTTTTTTTTCCCCCCAACCTTACATATGGATTTTTTTTTTTAATTGGCCAATTCCCAATTGTATTTCCTTAATCTGACTTTTTTTTAAATGTAGATGTCATTGTGTTAATCTCCTTGCTGTGGTGTAGAGTTTAGTTGGGTGCTTGTGTTAAGTGTGGCACTAGCTAGCCTATCTTGATAATAAATAAATAATAATAATAATAATAATTTTAATAATAAATCTTTACTGTTTGTCAGATGTATTGAAATGGGTTAGTAACCATTTATATAAACAGCTTGGCAGAGCTGAGGAATGGGCAAGCAGCTGTTTGAAAGGGGAAGGCTTTGCAAGCCTTTTGCTAGTGTAAGCTGTGGCCTGCATAGCACTTCACAAAGTGAATTCACATTTTTAGTTTAAATACACTGAAATTCATTTCACTCTGTTAGGTTCTGCATTAAAGAAACATCTAGCTTAACCTTCAAGAAAATGTTCCTGATAATGAACTTCATGACAAACTTGCTATAAGACTGCAGTCTACTATTACACGTATTTATGACTTAAAAATATCTGTGATGAGTATAAATTGCTATTGTATCATCAGAAATTGTGCCATGGCTGGGTTCATGGAAGCAATGTTAACATTGCTTGGATATGACAGTGTTGAGGAAAATAATATACCAGGTAGAAAACTTAATGTGACAAGATTTCTGAAGAAGTTGTGTCTTCTCCCTTTTCCAAGTTATGACCTAGATCATAGTATTTTGAGTTTATATCTGCTTTAAACTGATTCTTAAGTTTATAAGCTGGCATCCAGCCTTTAGAATCCTACATGGGTCTGTAAGAATTGAAGTCAAGATAGTGAAATGTATAATGCTGTCCTTTTACAAGAGGTTTTCTGTTGCAGAATGCGTAAGTTAATTCTCATTGTCTGAAGTTCCACAATACAGTTTTAATTGATTTAATGGTTTTGCTTTCTTCCTGTTTCCCTCTGTATTGTGGTTTTCCCTGCTCCATCGAGTTTTGACCTTTTCTCCCTTTCCTGGTGCCTGCTCTGGTGCTTATTTAACTCTTCATTATGCCATAAAACTGACTTATCAAAGAGGGAGAGTTGTGCTTTCTTTGGTTTGTTTTTTGGTTTTGTTTTTGGTGGTGGTTTTTTGTGTCGAGTTGATTTATCATGTGATGGCTTGGCTTTACTGTTAGATCTGGCATAAGTTGGGTGATAGATTTAGGCCTTGTTGTCAGCTGGGAGGAGAAGTAGAGGAATAAGGGAGCCAGACCATTGTTGACAAACTGCTGACATATCATATGCAATATAATTGAGTCCATAGTAACTGACGTATTAGTACTTGTGTAGCCACTGTACTTGAAGAATTTAGTAATTAGCATATAATTGGGTAGTCTGTGTTTATGGGGTTTTTTTGTTTTGGTGTTTTTTTTTTTTCTTTTGGCTAAGACATCTGCACTGGTCAGTTCTGGCCGATAGTAATTGCTCCACATGAGAGTTGCTTGTATTTGCAAAGTGAAGGGAACTGCGAGCTGGCTAAGGAAGAGTGCAGACAAGTTAAGCATAATTTCACAAACCTGGGCTTATCTGTGCCCAGCAGAGGTTTTACACAGAGGTAAGGACCATCTAGTGTTTCTTGAAGTAGGAGGTGAGATCTGATAATCAGGTAAAGAACTGGCATTGATGACACTCACAGGAAATTGCACTTGATGGTACGAAAGAAAACTGAGGCAGACTTGCTGCATCTCCTGTGCGTTACCTTACGGGAAGAAGAGCAACAGCTCTTTCTGGTGGTGTTAGACATGCTGAGTTTAAAGATAATGCCACCAACTCAAAAGAAGAAATTCATAGAGAAGTTTTTGTCTCTAATCCATTTAAGATCACTGAAGAAAGAAATGTATTAATGGTTTGGACATGTGATGTTTGTTTTGAGTGTTATCAGTGAACACAGTTGAGTTGATGTGTGTCTGCTGGTGAAATGCAAAATATGAAATGTGTTAGTAGCACTGTTACTGTTGATTTGACTGCAAAGTTGTCCTTCAACATCAATGATGTTTGAAGCTGATGCAACTGTAATAATCTAATTTTTTTTTTCTAGTGTTAATAATGCTTTCATACCCTGCAGGAGTGTAGGTGACCTGTATAATGTTCTGATAATGGACTGTGAATTGAGTCATGGTGGATTATTTCGCTAGGAGTATAGTAAAGCTAAAGTTAACTTTACAATTTTGTTTGCTTTTTTGACTTATTTTTAAGCCTGTGCCATCCAGGACCTTGCCCTTCGTGCCCAGCCTTCGTGACAAAAACATGTGAATGTGGACAAACAACGTGAGAATACTTCTATTATACAAACAAGAGTTTATATAAGAATAGTTTATTAAAAGTTTATATAATAAATTTTTTCTTTCTCATAGTTTATTAAAAGTTTACAGAATAAAGTTTACTCTGAGCTGTAACTTTTATTTGTGCGCTAAAATAATTTGGAGAATTTTATATTTTAAAAAAGGCAATTACTTTTAACCTTTTCAGAAGAAATAAAAGTAATTAGAAAAGAGTTATCTGTATTAAAATCAATTTATGGTACATGTAGTTGAATTGTCCAAGCAATCTGTGAGTTGATTTGGGTTTGAAATCCTATTCTAGTGTTTATTTTGTAGAAGACACAGAGAAAGAAGCAGAAAAAGGTTCACACCTCTTTTATCTGAACCGAATGTAATGTTGAGCTACTCCATTCTGGAAATAATAATTTCAAAAATAACATAGGAAGCTGTACCATTAGCAAGAGAGAAGTCTGTAATATATTCCAGACTTGAAGACTGTCTTTTCATTGCATCTTTGATGCATATAGCATCATTGCCAACAGCAAGACTATATTGCCCATACTACCCGTGACCTCTCATATTCGGTTGTTCTGAGTCTTTAGAGTCCCTGTTCTAGCTACCTGGAACTGATTCTGTGTATAAAATGTTTACTGGTGCTTGTTTCCAGAACTAAAACAAACAAAAAATAATTTCAGTGTTAGCATTCTTGCTCTAGAGAAAAGGTTTTCAGATGTTACAATTATTTCTGAAAGTTTGAATGTAGTATTAAGTGATCTTAATTTTTCAAAAGAAGGTACAGCTCTTTCTGTGGCAGTATTTGTAGTTGAAAGCACTTTGTCTTCAGAAGAAAAATGGATTGCTTGTAGATTATTGAACTTTATTTTACATAGTAAGATCACCTTTTTTTTATTCTAGCTATTCCTTGCATTTAAAGGTTTAATAGATGCAACCGTCTTTGATTTATTATTTTTTCCCAAGTGCTAGCTACTTTCACCAAGTTGCTGATTTTTGTAATACTGCATGTTATACTTAACATTTGCTTCTAAATAGCATTTTTTCATATGTGCTGTGTTAGCATCTAAGATGTATGGTATGACGCCTCTGATTTTAAGATCTTTTAAAGTTACTGTTTCAAATGTACATTACAAGGCCATTGTATGAAGCCAACCAGACTGGAAAAAGAGAATTTACTGTTTTGTCCCTTTTTTTTTTAAAAAGAATTTAATTAGAAAAAACCCCAACTCTTTTTGTAGACTGCTGACTCACTATTAAGGCCTACATCCCTATCTTCATTGTGCTCAGTGGACTTGGGATCGTTTAAGTCTTCAAAACGATCAGTCTGTAATAGAAATATCTGCTCTTCTGGCACTATGGGTTCATACATTAGGTTCAAGTTATAGTGCCACCTTTTTTTTTTTCCATTTTGTGGAGAGAAAATTCTGTAGGCTCAGTACTGTGATACATGTCCTACTTTAGGGGAGTGGGAGAGGGGAAGCAGAGGGGAAATAGGGGGCTTATTTCCTAGAAACTTTCATTAATAAGTTATGCTTCTTTTCAAAGGCTTTGCCATTTTACTGAAAAAGTATTTTGCATTTTAATAAATGCTCTATAGCTATTAATGTAACTGACAGATTATGGTGTCATTTCTCTACAGTCATTCAGTTCGCTGTGGCCAATCAACAAAAATTCATTGTTCTAATGTATGTGGAAATACTTTAAACTGTGGTAAGCACAGCTGTACTCAAGTGTGCCATGCAGGAAAATGTTCACCTTGCCAATTAACAGTCCAGCAAGGTAAGTACTGGAGTGCCTTACATATATCCACTCTGTACTATGAAAACAAGAGGGTGAAAAAAACCAGTACAAGAGGCAAGTGCTTTATTTTGACTTAACAAAACCAAAATCTATTGCTAGAATATTTGAAAAATGGAAAAAGTTGTCAGCATCACTATATATTTAAATAAGAATATAAACATCACTAAAAAGAACCCTGCCAAGATGATTAGGCTGTTGGAGCATGTGCCCTGTTAGGACAGGCTGGCAGTACTGGACTTTAGTAACTTGAGAAGGCTGGGTAGTGGCCTTTGAATAGCTGATAGGAGGTAAGCAAGAAGACAGAGACAGGCTGTGCATGAGGGGAAGATGAGATACAATGAGCCAAAGTTGAAATATTGTTAACTAGTTATAAGGAAAAGCTCTTTTCTTGGAAACTTGGAGGTTTTCAGGACCCAACTGAATAAAACTCTGAGTAACATGGTTTGATCTCATTGTTGACTCTGCTTTAAGTAAGGGCTTGGACTAGCTAATCCTGAGGGTCCTTCTGACCTGAATTGTCATGTGATGCTACTTGATCTTTTACTACAATTCTAAGACTTGATTAAACAGTACATGGAAGAAGAATAGAAAGAGGTATAGGAAAGCACATTTCAACAAGTGTCACCGTTTAAGGCTGGGCCGGCGCTTAAAGCAGGTGGCAGATGCTCTCTATTAACCCCATCCTTTCCCAGAGAGGGAAGGAGAGGAGAAAAGGGAGAGAGACTTATGGGTTGGAAAGTTAAAACAAGCTTTAATAAAACAATAACATTGAAAAAAGAGTATAAATAATATTAAAACAAATACTACTGCTAATATAAATATGCAAAACCAATATTGCTCTTCCTGATGATGATCGCGGGACCGCGTGCCGCGCTGCGGCAGCTTGCAGTGCTCACAGGACAGGGCGGGCACCCAGACCTCACAGAACTTGACCCCGCAGCAGGCGGGAAACCGGATTGAGGGGTGCACGGTCAGGGTCAGAGGGAGGGAAGCAAACAGTGTCCCATCAGGATGCCGGCCATGAGAGAAAGAGAGGGCTGACCCCCATGATCCTCGAGCGTTATACCAAGTATTCCTGTGGGTGGGATGCAATACTGCGTTGGTCAGGCCTGGGTCACCGGTCCCCTCTGCAGCTTCCCGGGGGTGCGACCCCTCCTCCCCCTTCCCCCCATGAGGAGCCCAGCGGAGCCCAAGAGAGCCGGCAGGGAACAAGCACCCACCCGTGGGCCTTTCTGCATAACCATCCCGCTCCTGCCCCAGCAACAGCTACAGCCATTAACCGCCATCAGCTCTGAAAGCTGGTACTGCCTGAAACCTGTAGTCAGCTTTCAGAAAGTGCAGTTACTAAAAAACTTAACTGAAGGAAAAAACTCTACTGAAAACAGAATTAGTCCTGTTTCAGCCAAACCAGGACAACAAGCTACTTGCAGTTTCTGTTACAGTTTTCTAAACTTGCTCTGGAATGGACATTAAATTGTCCAAGTATGTGAGCCAGTATACAAGTACATTTTTGTTGAACAGTTTATATAGAAAATTGTAAGTTAATTTTCTCAACTTTTAAGGTAATAATTAACTTGTTATGTATAGTGCTTTAGTAAATAAGCTTTTTGTGCAGGTAGTACTTCCCCTTTAGTTTTTATCTCCTTATTAAAATAAAATGGGAATTGCAGTTTCTGTAGGACTGAGAAACCTCTATTGCTGAGATCTAAAGAAGAGCAACTTCAGTATCCTAAAAATTGACTGTAACAGTTTTTCACATTTTACCTTTTTATATTTGCTGTAGTGCTGGAGGTGTTTTGTCGCATATTCTCTTATGTTGTTTTCTGTGGAATATTGCTTTCTTTCAGTGTGTTACTGTGGAAGCAACTTTAAAGAAGTATTATGTGGGACAAAGGAAGAATTCTCTGATGGATTTGGGAATTTCTCATGTCAGAATATATGTGGCAAGTAAGGTCACTGTAATCTAGACTTTTGAAAAGAAAAAGGTCATTTTATTCACAGTCAGTGATTATGATACTCTTAGATAATTCCTCTTTTTAATTTTTGTTTTGATTTGGTTTTTTTCTTGGTTTTGTTTTTTTCCAGAAAATTAAATTGTGGGAGGCACAACTGTACACAAGTGTGCCATCCTCAGCCTTGCCAGCTCTGTCCACGACTTCCACAAGTAGTCTATCGCTGTCCCTGTGGTCAGACTCCTCTCAGCAAGTTACTGGAACTAGGATGTGTTGAACGTAAAATATGCACAGACCCTATCCCGTCGTGTGGAAAAACATGTGGCAAACCTCTTTCTTGTGGTAGCTATGGTAATTAGAACTTTCTGCATCAGAGTATTTAAATTATTTCATTGTGTTGGTTTTTTTTTAAAAAAAAGTGGTCCATAACTGTTTCATTTCCAGAAAGAAATATTTGATTAGTGATTTGAGATTTTAACCGATCTGAGTGTAAAAGCCACTGCAGAGCCTGCAGTTTGGGTGTTTGTTTATAATGATACCTTAAAATCAGGAACGATATTTGTCTAGAAAGCACTAACAGTAGCTAGTCTTTTAAATTTTGTTTACATGCACCTTTCCTGTATTGATAGAGGAATAGAGCTGTATGAATTTCCAGAGAGTGGTATGTGCTGATGTGTTTTAGAAGCCCACCTAGATCTTTGACTTTCATGTGGAAGTTGGTAGAGATAAATGACTTTGTTCAGATGCCTCCAGTAAATACTCATTTCCTGCTGCTGTAAGAGGGTCATGAAGTAAAAAGTAGTGTTGGAAAGTTGGAGAAAATTATGTGCAGAAGCAATTTAGCACAGCAGTGAGAGCAGTAGATAAGTCGGGTGTATCTGTGGGATTGTGTGAAGCTCCAGTTTTACAAACTACTTATTTAATTGTATTTTGTTAGACTTCAAGAGAGGAGAGAGACCAATGCTGTCAAGATGAGGGGTTCTTATTAGTGACTGATCCCTTCTGTCAGTCCAAGGACAACAAGTAGAAAGGGAAAGCGTAATTTAGCTTTTGGTGGAATTTAAGTTAACCTAGTAAGTGAAATGTGAAGGTGCACATAATAAGTCATTCTTTTGGGCTGAAAAGGAAGAAAAAGTTATTTAAAATTCCTGGAACTTGGGTAAGATAGCATCACACAATTATTTTTTTTTCATACGTTAATGTAAAAAATATTTAAAATGTATGCATTTTCAGTGTTAATTGTAGATCTGAAACTCTAGTCTATAGATTCAGGATTTAAAAGTTGAAAATAATGGCAAAATTTTGTATGCCTTTAACTCAAAATAGTTAATTTACTTGGAAACCCAGCTACATGTAAGCTTAGTATCTGTGACCAATGATACTCATAATAAATATGAAGTTCCAGGTCATGGATTTTATGTTTTTATTAATTTTTAATCTTTATATTTTCATTTTGCTAGAGTTCGTTCATACATGCGAAAGCCTTTGCCATGAAGGAGACTGTAAACCGTGTTCTCACACATCAAATATTTATTGTAGGTGTGGCTTCAAAAAAAAGGTGAGTGTATAAAGCTTGACCGTAGAAACAGGTAATCTTTGTTGTTTCTAAAGCTGTGGAGAAAAAGGAGCTGAAGTAGTGGAGCGATGGAAAGCTAAGAAAAGTAAGAGGTGCTGTGCTGCTTAGCTGCAAGAACTCCATTGTATACTAACTGATAGAGGCTAACTAGATTATACTGTGAAGTGCTCACGTACGCTGCTCACTGTGAAGGTAATTTTTTGAAGTATTTTTGCAGAGTTTACATAGAATTCTGTTTGTTTAAACTGGCTGCAAAGTCCTGTATGACCCTGCAGTGCTTATATAGCACAAAGAATGATAGTTTTACAAAGAGTAATGTAAACTGAGAGAAGAAAGATAGTCTAACATAAACTAACTAAAACTTTATTTGTTGTAGATTTTTTTGAGAGAATATGAAGTTTTTACTGGTCCCCATTCTTCATACATAGTGACCCAGCAGATTCTCAGCAATTATTCTATAATAATTAGCATATTTTTAAACTATACTACTTTCTGTAATCATAGCTTTGAAATCTGACTACTATCGCACGAGCCTTGGTGACTTTTCTGACCTGTTGTATATCATCTGTAAGTAGAGATGGCTTCTGAATAGATAAGTCTATAAGTACGTAGAAACGACTGAGACTTTGCTTGAGATTGGAACGGATTTCTCCTGCAAGTTTGCTGAGGGTAGTTACGGGGTAGAAGGCTTCAGATTTTCTTTCACTTTGAGGCCTGAAACAAAGTAGTGAGGTTTGGGTTTTAGTTTATGCAGCTTCTCAGACAGCAGAAAGCTGTTTCTTGAAAAAGTATGAGTGAACTACAGTGATAATTTTAATCAGTCATTGAAAAATGTGATGCTCGGAAATGACGACTCGGAATGTGAAGTTGTGATGACTGAAGGTTCAAATGTAGTCCATCAACAATGTTCTTTTAATCCGTCACCTTTTATTTTCGTGTTGAGGGCTTCACTCTAGGTAAAACTTCATTGATTATGAGATTTGGCTTCACTCTTTTTTTATTATTATTTATTTATTTTTTTAATCAAGTCAGACTCACGTTTTTGGGACAGTTGGTCAAAGCACAAATTTGTGTGCTCTGTCAGTATTCTCAGGGAGAGCTCTTCTGGTTTCCTCCATGCAAGTTTCTGGTTTCTTAGGACAGACCTATTGCTGTCACTTCACAGCATTATCTGCTGAATTAAGTGGGGAATACAAAACTACAATTTTCTTAATTGATATTGAATCTCTAAGGTATTAATTGGTATTGAATCTAAAAGTATTGTGTTAAAAGATTTGAGGATTTTGTTCCACCTTTTGTTTCACTTTTGTATACTGAAGTGTTATACACATGAAAATTGAGAGTGCTGCTTCTCTCTGTATTGTGTGACTAGGTGTTTTCTGGAAAAGTAAGTTTCATTTATTTCATCTATTTTAACCTAATGGCTCCCTGTTTGTTTCCTAGGAAGTCCCATGTGCTCTCCTCAGAAATAAAGGTACAATGTTATGTTACATATACAATGTGAAATTGTTTTAAAAATTATACACAGGTCATATTAATTTTTTATTTGATTGACAAAGTTGGCAAACATCTGATCAGTACTGCTTCTTTTATCCATACTTTTGTGCCAAGTTGGTAATTTCTTGAGATGCTGCTACTTTTGGGAAGAGGTTTGAAATAAAACCTCTTTCGTTTCTGTCCATCTTTTACGCAAGGAAAGACTTCTTCAGCATTTGATCTCAAAGATTGCAGATACGCTGTCTATTTCAATTTGAACAGTTTCTTATGCCACCTGCCATATTTAATATGTTGCCCTCGTGGCATCCTGCATATCTTTGGGTTAACTTGCACAGCTCAGATGCAAAGTAGTGCTTTTGCTGTGCTCTTGGACAAGTTCCTGGGGAGATGCAAGCTTTGATTGTATGCTGCTGGTCGTTGCATCTGGGCTTGGCAGAGAGTTCCCATTTGATACTTCTTGCTATTCTGGATGTAGCATCTCAAAATTCACTTCAGTAAAATGTTTACTTAATGAACCCCTGTCATACTGAGGTACTTAGAAGATACATAAGGAAGTAATATGCCTATTTCCTAATTTGAGCTTTTGTCCATTAAGACTTTGCTCTTCATAATCCAGAAATGATTGATTTTGTTACCTGTGGATGGTGGTAAGGATGTTCTTTGTTGGCACTAGTTTCATGAGCGTATCAGCATTAATTGTATTTGGCTGACTTTTACTGCTGTACCAATTTGAGCAGTCTTAAATTGGATGTTTGTGGTACTCCAGTGTATCAGGATATCCTACAGAGTTTATGGTGTAAAGACTCATGTGAAATAAACTAGTTTCATGTATTCTGCTCTCCAAAATCCTTTTGAACAAGCATTTGTTTAGAGGAAGCCAAGTGTTCACATGGGGAATTAATGTGGGAGAACAAGTAATTTAAAAGTCTGCTTGGTGACTTACTCTGTATTACTGTCTTCTAGACCATGCTCTGCAACAGCCTTAGCATAATATTGTGATTGCAGTTTTTGTTCTGAGCATGCGATGTAAAAGTTAAGACTGTTCTGGTTTTTTTGTTTGTTTTTAATAGCTGCTATTACATTCATGTGTGACAAGCGATGCAACAAGAAAAGATCATGTGGACGACACAAGTGTAATGAAGTTTGCTGTGTGGTGAGTTTACCTGTGGTTTTATAAAATTGTTCATTGTGATGTATTTGGTTTTGGTTGTGATGTTAAAAGACTTCTGCTTTTGTATCTTTCCTTTTTTGTTCATCTTCAATCTGTATTTGCAGTATTGATCATACTTAGATGCATACACACAAACTTTCTGTTTTGCAGCATTTATTTTATGGGTATCATTATAAATGTAAAACCGCATTCCAGCCTAGATGCAATTAAATCAGTGTAAAGGTGCTTTTTGTCAATGCAGTGATTCCAGGAAGAATGGGGAGGGGAAGGATATTACTTAATACAAGAAGCATAAGCTATGATATAGCTATGTCTGCAACAGAGGTCTTAACAGAATCTGCTTTAAAAATTGTGTGTCCATACAGTGATGGAAAAACTGTATAGATCAGGTCTAAGCTGTTATTTGCACTATGCAGTTTTATCAATTAGTAGATTGTGACCTCACAGAGAAAAATAAACTAATGAGGTCTATAGTTTAATTCTGCTTTTCTTTTTTTGCTCCCCCTAGGACACAGAACACAAGTGTTCTTTGGTTTGTGGTCGTAAACTCAACTGTGGGCTTCATAGATGTGAAGAACCCTGTCATCGGGGCAGTTGTCAAACATGCTGGCAAACAAGTGAGTTACGTGCAAGAGGACATGATTTCTTATGTGTTATAGAAATTTATTTACTTAACTGGTCAGAGTTGGACAGAGAATGTGGTCCAAATTGACCAGAACCTGAAGAATAAGTAGTTGATTTTGATTGTATGTTTTTTCATGAAAGAGAAAGTAATTTCATTTTAGGTGAGTTTGCTAAGTGTTGGATTTTAATAGTTAAAATTTAATTACAATGAAATCTATTCCATTATGTATGTTGATCTAGCAGTCACTTTAAAAATTTGAGGAATCGTGCAGGGGAAAAAAATCAGTTTAGAAAGATAATTTCTAAGTTAAGGGAACTCTTATTTAACAATGTAATAACTGTTAAATATGTTGCAGAATTTGTTTGACTGCTTAGAGTTTAGACTTTCCCAACTTGGTACACTAGTGATTTTTCTCTGGATGGGACCATCTGAAGAAATAGGAGATGTCAGTTGTGTGTGTCTTAGGCTTTCAGGTCGTGTTCTGGATGGTGAAAATTAGTCGTTTATTGCTAGAAATAGATTGACAGCCAGCAGGTATTAATTTTCTTAGAATTGCTCGACTATTTAAAGATTAAAGTTGGTGCAATAGCTTTAGGTAGATATGTACTTTATTAAAAGCTGTGCCAGTTGAATATAATAGTTTTTTACAACTGTGTTTTACCACTTCATGTAAGGAACAATATGTTGATTATTTTGCACATTATAACAGGTAGATAATACTAAATTTTCTGACTTTGGCCTGAAGCAGACAGAAGAATTCTCCTATGTTTCCTTCTGTTAGCAGAACCTTTAGTTGATCTGGAACATCTTCTTATGTGATAGCAGTTTAATTTTTTTTTTTTCCCTCAGTCTCTTATTTTAATATAGGTTTCCCCTTTCTTTATATAGATGTAGCTTATCACAGAAATTATCTGTTTATTAAATGCAGTTTTTGAAGGTTGACCAAAAAAAGCCCATAATGGATTCTTCAGCTTGTATCCGTCCTTCCACTCAGTGTTCACTTAAGTTTGAAAGTTTTCTTTAAATCCATCATGGTTGAGTCTTACAGCTTCAAATTCTAGGTTTATTTTTGCATCTGTTGTGATCCACAATAAAACTGTGAGAGGAGAGTGTTTCTAGAATGGAATGTAAATACTCACCTGTAGTTCTCCTTTGGCTTTCATAAAATACTGTCTTTTGTCTAGTCATTCTTCAGTCACTGCTGGAGAAAAGTGAGTCTACTTTCCCAGAAACTAGATATTGCTTTGGAACTGTTCAATGGAATGTGGGAAAGAGGACAGTGAAATGTTGAAAGTGTGAACCAGACCTCGTGAAATTGGTGAAAAGGAGAGAGAGGGGTGCTGTGCATTGTATGGATACTGTTCACAGCTGGAAGTGTCTTAGCTGCTGTACTACGTGTTTCTCTCCTATATCATATGAACATGGACATAGCCAAACAACTCCATTTTTAGAGACCAACTTTTCATGGAAACATCCTGGAAAAGAGACAGTACTAGAGCCTGTAAAGCTCACTGTGGTTGAAATAGCATTGTAAGTCTGTCTTAATAGCCTGTGAATATGATGTGCATGCTGACTGTACCTCTGTTTAAAAAAATAAACGTTTCTATGTCCAAACATTTCTCTTGACAAAGCAAAATAGTAATCTGAACACCTCAGAGGTCCTGCTAGTAACTTCTGGTCTAATTGAATCAGAATGCTCAGATTTTTCTGAGCAGTTGTTTTTCTTCACTGGATTTCATGGGTTTGATCTTCAAGATCATTAAACTTCCCCACATTGCTGCAATATTTTTGAGGATTGTATTTCACTCTCAGACCTAAGATTCAGATGACTGGAGAGACCTGAGGATTGCCTCCCCTGTGAATTGCTCCACTGTTGGGTGTGATGCAACTGAGAGGTCATGCTTCACTGCTGAAATTTTGCAGCAAAACCCTTTTCAGAACACAGGAAAAGCAGCTACCTACTCAAGGAACCAGATACTTACGATCATTTGACTTAAACCTTCATGTCCCTGAAGTATCCCATTCTGAATCTGTCCAGATGTAAGTCAGCTAAGCAGTATCTTCAAAGATTTCTTACCTGCTTTCCCTGGATGCTGCTAGTTAAGATTTCAGAGGCGTACATTGGGTCATTCTGACGCTGCAGCTGATGGGGAGTGCTTCTCAGCACTAAGAAGTCCATGCTTGGCTCTAATCCGTCTGTTTACCCACCACTTTGCAGTTGAGCTGTATCAACCATGGTATCATGTGCCATGGTATGGTCAACTGCAAGCCACTTACCAGTCATTAGATTGGATTTCTTGCCCCTGCCTCCATCTCCACTACTGGTTTTGCTGGGAATGATGAGGGCTGGCGTCAAGTTGCAATGCTAGAGTGCATCTACACCTCTGTGGTTCTGTGTGCTTGCCAGGTACTTTACCTTTCTGGTGTTATTTTCTCAGTGTGGACAGCTGAGGTCCCTTTCTATGCCAGGTTCTCTTTAGACACACCCACTCTGCTTCAAGACAGCAGTACATCTCTGAGGGGAAAATAAATTATGTCAGCATTAGACTGCTGGTTTGGGGTCTTTTGGGGGTTTTTTTTTGGTGTTTTTTGTTTTGGGGTTGTTTTTTTTTTTTTTAAGTTGTTGTGTCTTTAAGATAATGTATTTCTACTCTTTGGATCAGACCTCTCTGTACTCCATCCCCATTATCCCAGTTAGCACTAGTTAAGGAACTTTCATTATAGTTAAGATTCTTCACCTATCACTTCTCATCAGTAGCAAGCAGCCAGTGTAGCTGTCTGTCACTCAGGTCTTCCAGGGATCTTGATCTCTAGTGTTTCATCTTCTTGGACCAAGGAAGATTTGTGGCTTTGAAGCCTAGAAGGTATAAGTTGTTTCAGGACCAGCAGTGAGGGGCAACAAAAGCCCTACTCTTTCTCATGCTTGCTTTCCACATAAAATCCGTGGGCATTCTGAAACTTCTCAGCTTTTTCTACTTCTTCTTTCTACTTCTTCCTGCTAACCCCTAACGTTCTCATTTGCTGGACTTTTCTGCACTTGAGTCTCCTTAGACAAAAGTTGTGATCCTTTCTACTAACTATGGCACTCTAAAATACATGGGCAAATGACTAGGACCTGGCCTGAGATTTAACTGAACAGAGCATAAAAAACAACCAGACATGCAAAATTTCTGAACATAACAAAAAACCACAGTGAAAAGCTGACAAAAGTTTCAAATAGTGCCATGAGGAATGGATGGATTTCACAGATGTTAAGGGTGAGAGATGACTGAGCTTCCCAGACAATTGGAGGAGGGAGGTATTTGCAGCCTTTTTGGGAGTGCACTATTGCAAGACCAACAGAACTTAGGTCGTTGTGTGATGCTGGAATGACATAGCTAATGATACCAGAAATGGCAGATTTAGGTACAGAGCTAGCTGAACTGGGACCGATGTGGAGAAATTTATTTTGGTAGATTATATGGGAGGAATCAAGGTGGATGCATGGAAAAATGGAGAGAAGGGGAGATAAAAGGCACCATTTGCACAAATGAAGCTGCTGCTCAGTGCACTTCTCTGACAGAGCCCTGTGCACCTGATGACACCTGTCTATCCTGATGTAGTTAAGAATAAGATTTAATATTTTACAGTGTAATCTCATTCTGTGTTCTGTGTGTGAGAAGTCTAAGTGCCAGCAACTGGAGGCTTGGCTGTAGATCATGGGAGTGCGTAGTCTCTATGCTAGCAGCTGGAAAGACCAGGCAGATTTAATATACTGTATTCCAGCAGCTGGGGAACTGGATCACAAGTTATAGGGGCCTCTTGCTCTGGGTGCCAGCACCGGGAGAGACCAGGGGACATGTGTGATTCCCTTGTTAATCTCAGTCCTATGTGTTCCTGTGTATGGCTGGGTAATTTGCTAATGAACTTGCTTCAAAGCTGGGCTGACTGGCTAGGAGGAGATCTGCCTCTGGAAACAGCCAAGGTTTCAGCCAGTGACTGGGTAAATGGTCTGTCCAGGTATGGATATTAAAGCCTAATAATATTTGAGATCCATGAATGTGGTGTGCGTGTAAATGCAGAGTGTATGCGTGTTTGCATGTCTTCACTAGTGAACTTTAGTCCTGATGAGCTGGAGAGGAGGAAGAGGACTTGGTTATTGGTATTCCTATTTATGTGAATCTTCTTGTTGTTCAGTTGGCTCTGTGTTAGTCTGTGTATCCGGTCATGTTATTGTCATGGATGTATTGTGTGTCTTGTCTCTCTGGAATATGTCTTCAGACTTGCTACTGGCTGGACCTGCATATTGATGCAGCAGCCATCATATCCATGGCAGTGGGACAGTAGGAACCTTTGGGGATTTAGAGTTCAACAGATTTTGCTTTGGTAGACTAGGAAGAAGGAATCCTGTGATTCCCAGTCAGAGAACTTGCTGGATTTAACAGGTCCCTTAATAGACTCGTCTTCTCTTCAGGTTGGAATTGTTTTGTGTGTTTATTGCCCCGTTATTCTCTTACCTCCTCTGCCATTCTTTCTTGTTCTCCCTGATCCACTATCTCTTTATTTGTTTATAGATGAATCATAGTGTCTTTTTGTTCTCAGATCTCCTTCTATATGACTTCTGATGTTAATATTTTCTCTAGTGTCCTACTCTTCTAAGGATTTATCTGTTTGAACTATAGTTTGCATTCCAATCAGTCTTCCTCACAGTTTCTTTGTATTCTGAAAAACAGCAGTGAACTGTATTAATTTTTGTGGAGTGTTAAGCTTTAATTGGGATGGTGTATGTAAGTATTTTCTATTCCTTTGTTTATTTTATCACTGAGATTTGGAATCTTGTGATAAGCGTTTAAAATCTATTTCCCAAATATGGAAGATTTAAAAAAAAAAAAGGGGGGGAAGAAAATATATATACTGCCTGAGTTGGAGAACTTCCAAAACTTACAAAGTTGGCTTTGAAGTATTATTTGGACAGGTTCATAAGCTGCTTATGAGCATCCATGTAATACGAAGTGACATAAAGTAGAAGGGAATTCAAGAGATAATCTCCCTGTTTTTAAGTCAAGGATAGAACAGCAACAGCTTTCAGCTTTTTCAACTTAACATGAGCATTTCTCTTGCTCCAGTTCAAAATGTTGCTGTCAAAGAACCACTCTCCAAAAGCAAGTATAATTCCTAATGAAGCGATCATACTCCAGTTTTCTTGTAGGAGCCACAAAAGCTAATAAATTCACTACAGTGATGCTTAATCCCAAAAAATGAAGCTGGAGTAAAACATTTGCCTGTTATTTAAAGATTTCTCATGGTGGAGACGTGCAAATGCACGGAGCCATTGGGATATATTTGACTTGTTTTTTCAGGTTTTGATGAGTTAACTTGTTACTGTGGTGAATCTGTGATTTACCCCCCTGTCCCCTGTGGCACTCAGCCACCAGAGTGTAAAAAAACATGCACCAGGCCACATGACTGTGATCATCCGGGTGAGTCAGACCATTCAGTTTTGCTTGGGTTATTTGGTTTGTTGTGGGGTTTTTTTTTGATCAAAATGGATGAAAGTGTACATAGGTCTGTTTGAAAATGTATTTGCTTTTTTATTAGATGCTTTTTCAGTACTTGCAAATATTTCCAAAAATCTACACTTAAAAGCCAACCAACTGAAAACTTGCCATGAATACTAGTAGTGGTACTTCTGACTGGTAAAAGCATTGGATTTTTTTTCTGATCATTATTAATAATCACAACACATTAAATGCTATATTCCAAAGATTAAGTGCTCTATTGAAATAGTAGGATAATCTCCATTTCTGCGTTCCTTGGAGTTACATTGGCTGATAGCAAAGGTCAAGCAGATATGCTTTCTGACAAATTCTATCTGATAGTACAACCCTGCTTAGAAGTTACAGATTTCTCTGCTATTTAATTTAGAAAATATGGAAGAATATTCACCTAAAAACCTGCCATCATAATATTTAAAGAGTACTTTAAAGAACAGATGATCCTTGCATGAAGCACTGTATTTCCCATAAATTGTGTAGTTCTGAAATGCAGACTCATATTTAATAGTCTTTGTTGTCTCTTTTAATGCATTTGACTGAAGTATGCTGATAAAACTGTGCTGACTTTTATATTTCTGTGACTGCAGTGTACCATTCATGTCACAGTGAGGAGAAATGTCCACCCTGTACCTATCTCACTCAGAAATGGTGTATGGGCAAGCATGAGGTAAGTCTAGACACTTAATGTTTTTGAATACTAAATAATGTTCTAGGACTGTAGGCTTAGATTTTTGTGGCCTCTTTGTAATGGAATATGTTGCTGGAGTTTAAGTTTAGTGTGATTAAATTAGAAAAGTGTATCTTTTATGCCATATGCATTCAGACCAACTGCTATATTGGACTATGGATATAAAGAAAAACTCAGTCTTTGTCTTAAGATATTTTAGTATTGCAATTCTTGCATGGACAATGCCAAATGAAGGCATGCACAGTAAACTACTTTAAGATTTGCATTTATAATTTTTCATCTTTAGTTGTCATCTTTTTCCTCCCCTCTTCCAGCTGCGAAGTAATATTCCTTGTCATCTCACTGACATTTCCTGCGGACTTCGTTGCAATCAAATGTTAAAATGTGGAATGCACAAATGTAAAAGAATCTGTCATAAAGGAGAATGTCTTATAGATGAAGAGTGTAAACAGCCATGTATTATTCCAAGGCTATATTGTAATCATCCCTGTATGGCTCCATGTCATCCCTCTTCACCCTGTCCGACAACATGCTGCAGTGCAAAGGTTAGATACCTAAAGAAAATTCACTGCAAATTCACGGGTGAATTGTTTGGTTTAATTATCAACCAATAACAGTTGTGACAAAAAATGATATGTTTGTATATTGATAGCATGACTTTTTTCCGTAAACTTATAATATTGAATTTTTTAATTCATTAATTAATTAATCACTTTTAATTAGCCATTATTGCACTAAAATGGGGCTTTTAAAAGGAATAAATTTACCTCTCTCACACCCCTCCATGGCCATAAAAAGACAAAAGTTTTAAAAAACTGTTCTTTTGTGTGACACAACAGGTTGATCTTCAGTGTGAATGTGGAAGAAGAAAGGAGAGTATGATTTGCTCAGAAGCATCTAATACATATCAAAGGTTTGTACTGTAATAATTCTTTTAATTCTTTACTGAACTTCTTTGCAGTTTGATTAAATTTCAAACTTGACTGAATATATTTAATCCACAAGCTTTTTCACACTTTTTTTTTTGTACTTTCACATACGGTTTCTTTTTTTGTATTGCCCTGAGCTTTTGTACAACTATGCTGTACTAGAACACATTCCTCTTTTCACTGTTGTTAGTCGAACTGTGGTGGTGTGTCAAAGCTTGAATCTCCCATCTGTGGAACTCTGCTCTACCCACATAGAGCAATTAGATTAATTGGGCAGGTCCAGATTCAGGCTTCTGAATGTATGTGATTACATATAGCAGTCCACGTGTGAGTTGCTGTCTAAGTTTCCCTTAATGTGTGACGGAACCTGATCGATACAGATGATAGAGGCTAAAGAGTGATTTAAAGTCATTCTGAAATAGCTAAATTTATGCAGGAGAGCTTTGACATGTACATCTTGGTTCTTAATATGCACACTGAGTTCTGCCCAACTCCATTTATTGCAATAATTTGTCTCCAGGTACTATGTCTAAACTTCTTTCTCTTGTACCGGAGAGGGCAAGGAAGGGACAAGGAAAAGAAGACAAGTAGCACTTTGGAATTTTTGAAATGACAATAGCAAACCAGTAGTAGTAATAGTAATAAAATCTCACTCTGAGGCTGTGATTGAGAGGGAATCAAAAAATTAATCTAAAGAGTTGATAACGCAACCAGAGTTCTGCTCTGCATCCCAGTTGGTAGGAGAGCAGTCACAGATTCTTCCTGTCTTTCAAAGGAAGCTTCCTAATGATTTTTTTATTTGGAACTGCTATTTGAGGGCCCAATACTAGCCCAGCTTAGGGTATGCTGCTTTGTTCCTGCTGCACAAAACTCTGCCCAGATTCAAATTCTCACAGAATATGGCTGACCATCTACATAGTAGGTGATTGATAATACCTAATGAAAATGAGGAGAAAAATGTGCTAATCAGAAACAGTTTAAAAATTGTAGCCAATACTAAATTGAATGCAAGATAGCCTTACAGGAGTGGTGATAATTCTTTTCTTTTTAGGAATAAAAAGGATTTTTTTTGTTAAGATGTGTCTCACAATGAATACTGATCAGAAGATGGACTCGACTTTGAAATACCAGTTTAAATTGACACATGCTTGTCATTAATGATAAGCTGGGAAAGTGACATAATTACAAGTCCAAATTTTTGCAGGCTGTTATTTCTCCACTGTTTCTATAGCTCAAGCACTGCAAAAGTATTCATCCAAGGAAAATGGTTCTTTGAATTCAGTGGGAGTCTTTGCCTGCATAAGCTGAACACATATGTATTTATTTATCTAATCAGAGCCCAAGTCAAGAGGAAGGGAAAGAAACAATCAGTTTAAAGCAAGTGTTTGTATCTCTTTGTTCAAATGTGTTCATATCTGTTTACAAATTACGCTTCACTCGTGTGATATTAACCAAAGCAGCATTTAATGCCAACTCAGTTTGTATGATAATGCCTACTGTTCAGGCTGCTGAAAGATTAAAATATTCTGATTTTGTGGGAATTAGATTTGGCTTTTTTTCCACCATCTACACACTTAGGGAGGGGAAAACAAAAGAAAACCCAAAAACCAAACACAACAAAGTAACTCTTGTAGTACTACTGTGGAAAGGTCAGCAGATTAATGGGGTATCCAAATTTTCTCAAAAATGTTATAGGAGTGATGAAACAGCTTTGAGCTTTGCAGTGAATGTCAGTGAAAGAATACCCAAGGGAACGGGAAAAGGAGTGTGCTGCTGTATCTGTACACATGATATAAATGATGATGTCCTATCATCTAATGGCCCATGACCTAGACTTTGTCACCACTGCCTGATAAATATGAAGCTGATGGTGCCTCTCAGTGCTTTTTATGTTTATGTAATATGATTATCCTCCTTCCTGATAGATGATTAGTTCTCTGAACATGGTGCAAAACATACAGAGATAAACGTATCCTTTTATCTGAATTTAACAGAAAAGATGGTTCAGAGGCTAGAATGTTCCATTTTCAGGATTTTATTTGAGAATGGTGTGGGGTATTTCACTAAAAACTTGCTGTGTATTTTAGTTGTAGAAGTTTTAGCAAGAAAATCAGACTGGGAAGGTTTGTTATTGAAGGGAATGATGGAGAATCTTTATAAAGAAAATTCTAACAGTCTCAGAAGGCATTTTGCTCTTTCTTTATGGCTTGTATCATCTGTATTTTCTAAGCAAATTTCTAAGTACTTTATACAGGTTTTAGTTGCACACAGTTAAGAAGAATCACATAAAAGTTAAAAAGGTAATTAAAGCTATGTGGTCAACTGTAGCTTGAATATTAAGCAGGTGAGAAGAAAGAGTATTTGCATTGCCTAGTTTAGACTTGCTTAGAATTGATGCTCTGAAAAATTCTCTGAAGAAGCATGTCCATTTTTTAGTCTTGCTCCTGGTTGCTTGAAGGAGATGAGAGAGAGTAACCTCTTAATTTACGTAGCTAGATTAGACTCCTAAAACTAGGTGATGTGGAACTAGAGTCGCATTCTGTAATCTGATGAGAAAACGGTCAGTCTGTCTTCTTTGACGTGGAGGTTTAAACCTGCAGCTTTCTACATCTTTTCAAAGGTTTATGTGTTGTCTCAAATGGTATCTAATGCTTTTCTTTTTCAGAATAGCTGCTATATCTATAGCCACTAAGTTAACAGATCTACAGCTTGGAGATTCGGTAGAAATCAGTAGGCTTATTACGAAAAAAGAAATGAAGCAGGCCAGGTAAGAACATATATGTAGAAAGATACTTGAAACCCTTGTGTGTACCTGAAACATAGGTGATGTGGAAAATACATCATGTTGTGAGCAAAATCCCAGCTGAAATAGGAAGACTTTAAATAGCCTTAAAAAGTATTTTGCAATTCCTTAGCGATTAATGTTTTTGCTTGCATTCTCTTATCACTGGCTGGTTTCTTGTTCTAGTTATGTATGGAACAATATAATTGTGGTTTCAGAGTTTCTTTCTATCCAGCAAACTCCTTAGACTTCCTCTGGATTTTTTTCAGATTTCTAGCCCATTTAACTTCTTGCTATTATCTTCTGTTTCAGCGTCCAGCATTCCTTCCTGGATGATTAATATGGTATATTTTCCCCTAGTCATCATCTTACTATGTATAATATTTTTCTGTTACCCTTTTTAGATTTCTTACGTTTGTATTTCAATTGGATTGACGCTTCTGTGTTCTCATACGGGCTGGCACTGCAAATCTGCTTTAAAGTCACAAAACCACTTGTGACTTAAGTTTGCTGATTTTCCTGTTCCTCCTGATGTTCATCAGGATTGGAATAGCTTGTGTTTTTACTTTTAGTATGATTTCTTTAAGGCATTGTCAAGTTTCTCCAACATCCTTCTGTCAGAAACTTGACTTCCTGAAGTCTTTGCCCTTGAAGTCCCTAATTTCTGGTGTTGGATGGTTTCTGTTACCATTTCTCCTCTCTTAATTGTGAATTTGATTATTTCAGAGTCAGTCTGTTATGTGTGTTAAAATTTAATATTCCTTTATATTGTGTAAAGTCAAAGTAATGAAATTTCCCATACAGTTGCTTCATGACTTCCGGTATCAAAAGCTAATACCAGCATACTTCAGGAACTTTTGCTAGTCATTCTGTTCTGTTTATTTGTTTAATGTCTATGAAATTGGAGCATATTATTACCAAGTCCTTTCGGACAATTTTCTATACTGAAATAATTTTAACTGAATGAACAGGCAAGATGAGCTAACACCAGAAATGATGCATGGGGAGCACATGCTCATCCCAGTCTCCAGCTTCATTCTAGTTGGGCGTGTGTCATACTTCAGAAGAAAGCAGGGGGAGGGAAAGAAGGTGAAAGAGGGGGAGCTATACTGATTCCTACGTGCAACTTTAAAGAGCGTGGTATTAGTACTGTATAAGCATAGTATAAGAAAGACACAAATAGGAAACAGTAATTGAGCCTTTTTTTTAACCTACCCTGTTTGTTTCAATTAATTGAATACTGAGAAAGGTACAATATAAGCATTAATTTTTGTCTCTAGACTACTTTGAGCCTCAACTACTTTCTTCCTATTTGTATCACAATGCCAGCCAGATACAAATATACTCAACAATATGAAGCCAACTTCAGCTTCTCCAAAAAAAGAGTCACTGTTTAAAGAAGGCAATCATTTGGCAGTTCTAGAACTTGGGGTGAGGGGAGGGTGGGGGTGTGGGGTGGTAGAAGAAGGGGAGGATGACTTTTTCAGCTACTGAAGCTGCAAGTCTGTCTTAATAGCCATATACTTGCCAGGAGAGCAAGTAAGACACCAGTGTCTTTGTTGGTGTCCCAGCCTTTGCAACGTGTAATATAAATCGTGTGGTAGTCGCTGCTGCACATCTTTCTGTGTGGGCAGGCTTATACTGTCCTTTCCTTGAATAGTTGAAATTACCAGAGGTTACTTTTCTTTCTGCAAATTCTTCCTAATATGATACCTGAACTGTGGCAGGTAGCCTTTGTTTAAGGACAGTCAGAGGAAGCATTTTCCCTTCCCCACCCTTTTCAACTACCAAATAGCGGGGCAGGGGCGAAGAGATGGTGGCACATAAAATATTTATTCTTACATTTCTAGTTTATTGTCAAACTCCAGTATTTTCAAAGTAACTTACAGATCTACTTCATTCATTTACAATAGCAGAATATTTTATGCAAACTGTGCAGAGATTTCCTGTTTTTGTTTCTCTCTCTGGTCCATTTTATACTTTAGTTTGGTTTCCTTATTAGCGTTTGGGTTTTTTTTTTTTGTGACAAATTTGATCAGTCCTAGAGTGGCTTCTCTAAATTGGCTACATTCCTCTTTTAGAGGATGAGAAAACAATTCTTCAAGCAAATTACTTTAAACAGTACCAGATTGATCTTAGAGTGCAAGTATGTTAGCTTTTTTCTGCATCCTTGAAGAAACCCACCAGAACTTCTGGATCCTACAGCTGTGTGTCTCCAAACATAATACATATCACTGAATGAACCGGTTTCCCCTGTAGAAATTATTTGTTTGAAATTAAGGAACTATTATTAACAGAATCAATTCACTTATGCAGTCTAAAGGGCAGAAGTTTGTAACTGCCACTGTGAAATTCTGGAGAGCTCTTCATCCTTCTCTGACATTTTAACCTGTTAAAATAAAATCATAAAATACCTTTCAAAGATGAGATGGAAGACTGAAATTCATAACCCTACTGATACTAGAAGTTATGTGCTCAGCTGAAATACTGATTTTTATGGTGCATCATAATCCTCCGTACGTGTAGCTAACTTTCCTGGTTTTCCTGGCTGATAATTTTTTCTGATGTATAGGACTAAGTGACCTTGTGACATCTTCCCTTGCTAATTTCCCATCCTTCGTAGCATCCCCTCAATGCTGATATCAACTGCATTTTTTTTTTTGCAAATGATCTAATTTACCAATATAATAAAATCTAATCCAGAAGCTGTTTTTCTCAGCTTCTATATGGCTTTGGTAATTGCTGCTTCTGTTCAAGACTTGGAGAAGGGCGTGTATGCTCAAAGATCTTTGGTTGTTGTTTGGTTTTAGCTGTATTATCTGTTCTAATACAACAAACTATTCTCACACACTCTTCTTACTTCTTCAGGCTATGATAATGATAAAACACCAACAAAGCTACAGTTGGAAAAGTATGAGTAGGAGCAGTGATTCTAATTGTATTTTTCTTTCATAATTCAGGTTGCAATGTGATGAAGAATGCTTAGCTCTTCAGAGGAACAGGTGGGCAATGAGCTTGCTTTTTTTTTTCAGAACTCCAGGTTCAGATAATTAATGCTATGTGGAAAAGAATGCTTTCCTGCATGACCTAGAGAACTGATAAATGTGGAGATGATTCCTGTCTTATAGGGATCTATATTGAGTGATCTGAGCTCTTACTAGAATATTGTAGTGAAAAGTCCTAAATGAGTAGTTTCAAATGTACAGACTGTATCTTTTGCGAGCAGTTCATCTGTATTAGTAATCAGTATCTTTACTCTTCAATGGCAACATGTTTGGAAGGCTGGGGCGGGGGGTGTGTGTGTGTTTGTTTTTATTTGGTTGTGGGTTTGTTATGTTTTGTTTTTTCCCTCCTGCCCTCAAATTTAGGCGTCTTGCTGAGGCTCTTGAAATAGATGACAATTCTGATCCTTTTAATATCCGTTCTTCTGGACCAAAGTACAGTGACCTTTTAAAAGAAGATGCGAGGTATGCGTTCTAATGATGACAGATGCCATAGGTAAACAGTATTGAGAGCAAGGTGGGAAATGCAGAATAGTTCTGTTTACTCTTGTAAAAATGCCAATGTTTAGTCCCCTCTTCACCCTTGGCAATAGGTGATAATTGAGGCAGAGGAGGTATGTGCACTTCTCAAGACCTCTAAAATGAGAACCTGAAATGTAAAAAGTGCCTGGCAGGTTGCTTTGTTTGGTAACAGGACCAGATTTAGAATGGGAATATCATTTTCCACTATTATTCTCACTGGAATCAGTACCTGTACTTCTTGCATCTCCACTGCTTTCATACACAACCAACCCCCATCTTGGTCCTCCTTGTAAACTTTTCAAGACAAAGACAAAAGTGATAGCTAAGTAATGAAATATGCTCTTACAGCCTGACATTATTTCCCTCGACCACTCTCATTTATTTTTTTGCCTTAACTGCCTTTATGTTAAAAATAAAGAAATGGAATAAATAAAACACTTGATTGATGCAGAACTAAGCCTATGCCAGTGCTGACTGTAAAGAGGGCTGCTAGACTGAAACATCTGAAAATGAGGCAATAGAAAGTCAAGGTAATATCAAAAGCATCACACTAATAAATACTATGCAATCTGGAATGACAGGGAGGGATCACACACATTTTTTAAAAGATGCTTAAATGATAAGTGCCATCTAAGAAGTTTTTACTCGTGTGTGTGTGTTTGTAGGCATGACATTAGTTTTTACCAGCTCTAAGTATTTAGAACAACTGAATCTGTTTTGCTTTTGCTTGACTGTCCTAATGATACATAGATTTAACATTTTAGTGAGGATGCTTTCTACTTGAAAATCCTTTATTTAACTTGCTGATGTGTTGAGACAAGTGAAAATTTTACATAAATAGCCACACAGAATTTAAGAGTAAACCACCTTTTGCTTTACTTCCAACTGATTAGCTTACTGCAAGACAAGAGCTGAATGTTTTCGTTGTGGAGGTACTGTTTTATTAGTATTTGCACTTAAAAGTGGTATTTTATAAGGACTATTCTGTTAACTGTATATAGAGTATGTTCTGCTCTACCTCTTTCAGAAAACAAAGCACACATTTTCACTCTCTTACTGTGTTGAGTATCTTGTGTGATGTGTGTAGTCATCTCTCTTCTTTTGGAGTATAATCCAATCACACCTTCCTGTCAGCCATTCTCTACCCATAGTGCAGTGTTCCATCTTTCATGAAGAGAACTGACCAGAATCACGCACTGTATTCCAGATGGTGTAACGGATACCTTGAAAAGTAGCTTTAATGCTTCCACACTTCTCTGTGAAAATATCTCTTCTCGGTCAGTCTGTGATTTTACTTGCATTTCCTTTGTAGCCACTTTATACTGGTAACTCATGATAAACTAATACATCCAGGCTATTCTCACTGATTCACATATTAAAGCAAAAGTTTTTGTTAATCCTCAAGTCAATGACTTTGCACATTGAATTACTGGATTTCGTTTTTCTAGTCTTCAAGATAAATGAGTTTTATCTTGAAGCTCCCTCTGTTAACATAGCTCTCTTTACATGAGCAACAGTCTGGAATTTGTGAAGCTATGGCTTTATGAACTTACTTCCTTGACTGCTCTTGATGATCTTTTGTCTCAGCAATATTGCAAAAGATCTGGGTTTCCCTCATAATGTCAGGATCTAAAAAGTGTATCTGTTACAGTATTGTTTTTTCAGGTAGCTCAGCATTCTGTGTAAGTTTTGACAGATGCATTCATTCTTGTTTGAGCAGGTCACTCCAGTAATGCAAGAGTTCAGGGCTTAGTGGTTTTCTGCAGTGCGTAAGTTATACATCTGTGTATGGGATCTCAGAACGATGAGAAGTATGACAGCTGCCTTCCTTTGCCTTCAGGGTCAGTGCCTCAAGAAGGCGGCAGCTGCCAAAACCATGAGTAGAATGCTGTGATATTATCTTGCATAGGCAATCCATTGATCTGTGAAGCTGATACATTGTCAAGGGCTAAAAAAATGCACATCTACAAATGAGAAAACTTGAGAGTGCTGTGAGAAAACTCCTGAATTTGCGCTGTAATCTTTAATTACAGAACCATAAAGCTCCAAGACACAGTACAACTCCAGGTAACAAGGAAGATGAGTAAGTGGAAACATGCCAAGATAATATGTCTCCTTTGTAGGACAGTGACAGGAGAAGAGAGCACCAGGAATAGCACAGTAATGCTGCTGCGTGCTGATCTTGCTGATGTGTTTGTCAGAATCTGACAAGGAGTCAGAAGAAACGTCTCTACACCATACAGCTTTACATGAGGAGGTATCCTGCTCCCAAGGGGAATCTATCTTCTAGCATGGAGTTGACTGTACCAGCACAACTGAGCACAGATCAAGGGTTACAGATCCACTGTGTGGACACTTCAGCACTGACCTTTCTAAGAGGCTTCAGAAATAGACGCAGAGAGCAAGCAAATGCTCAGGTTGGCCTGTTGATGTGAAGTTGGAGGGCAGACTGGCACAAATGTCAATACCCAGTTTCACAAAGATGGTACTAAGGCTGCTATTTGATGAATTAAGACTACTGGAGAGGATGAGGAGAACAGCTGGAATATCTGGCCACTTGGAGCTACACAGAAAAGAATTGTGTCACTGGCTGTGGAAGACCCCACAGGAGCTGTATGGAGCAGGGAAATCTTGAATTAAATGATTAAGTCTAGAGAGATGCAGAGGGAGATGGGTCCTTCATAGGCATCTTCTTAGCCAGTCTTCCCAAGAGTTAATGTTCCACGTGCTGTTGTAGACAATGAAGGCAGAGCCAAGCACTCCCGTGTGTGATCTGGCAGCAGGAGCAGTGTACAGGTTTAGGGGTAGGAGACCTTTGAGGCTTTCTTAGACAAGAAATGAAGCCTGAAAGAAGGGGCAGTGAGGGCAACTTCTCAAGCACATGACTGGCAAACTGCAAGCCTGGAATGTCAGTCACTTAGAGGCAAAATCTTGCACTGGCAAGTGTTGCAAGAATAAGGAGGATTTGGCAAAGGCAGCAAAATCTGGGGAAAGCAAAAAATATACAGCAAGAACAACAGTGAAAAACCAAGCAATGAGGAACATTCTTATTAAGTAGTATAGTTGAGAAGAACTGAAATGGTAGGAGGCCTGCTCATGCATACGTGCAACGCAAGGAGGTGAGGAGAAGCCTAAGGTACACATTTCCTTGAAGATTGCTCAACCCAAATTATACTCCCTTAGAATCTTCTTGATGATTCCTGTCCTGGTTTGGCTAAAACAGGACTATTTCTCCTATGAGGAGTTTTTCCTTCGGTAAAGTTTCTTATTCTAAGTAACTGCACTTTCTGAAAGTGCAGCTACATGTTTTTCAGACACTGTCTGGTTTCAGACTTGGTAACACTTGATGTTTATAGTTGTTACTGAAGTAATGGTGGGATTGGTATGCAGAAGGGCACACTTTTATACTTATTCCTATGCGAACCGAGGTCACTTCTGGCTCTACGTTAAACAAGTGAAAAGTCATAAAAGGGTTGCACCTGTGGGAAAGTGCGGACAGGCCAGGTGACCAAAAACTGACCAACGAGGTATTCCACCCCATCCACGTCATACTCATATAAAGCTAAGGGTTCACAGGTGTCAGTCTCTCTTCTTTCATGGCCGGCATCCCTGTGGGACCCTGCTCATTCTCCTGCCTCCGATCCTGATCTGTGCATTCCTGAATCCAGTTTCTGTCAGCTGTGGAATCCAGTCCAGGACATCTGGGTGTCTGCCCTGCCACAGCAGTGGTGTGAGCCACTGCGGCCTGGAATTCTCTGACCATCATTGGGAAGCTCAATATTGGTTTTGTATATTTTTCCTTTTATTTCTGTTATGAGTAGTATTAGTATTATTATGCTTTTTTTCACTGTTACTGTTCTATTAAAGTAGTTTTAATTTCCAACCCATAAGTCTCTCTCCCTTTTCTCCTTTTCTTCCCCTCCCGGGGTGGGGGGAGAGGCATTAATAGAGAGCATCTGCCATCGGCTTTAAGAGCTGGCCCAGCCTTAAATGGTGACAATTCCAAAGAAAAAGCAATTGTTCTGTCTCTCCCACCATCTGCATTGGCCAGTCCTTTGTTGTTCCCGTCTGAATAGTCTGTAGGTTGGGGCTTGCTCAGATCCTGAGGTGTCTTAGGGTTGTTTTTCCATGAAGTTCTTCTATATGAAAGATTCTGGAGGTACAAAGTGCACATAAAACACCTGCCTTACATTTGAACACCCATATGGGTAGTCACAACTCTGCTATTGTGTGTTATATTACAAGCAAAAGGGAGTAAGGCCCTGCTTCTGCTCTTTAGAGAGTGATTGGAACTAGGGATGTTAGGTGTTGCCCATGAAATTAGTTTCTGTACAGTTCATCTACTCCAATCCATCTCACGTTTTCCTACAGGGTCATAACATTCTCTTAATCAGTTGGTTTCTGCTGCCACCGCCCCCCCACCCCAGCTCTGTCCCCACCATAGTATGCTTTCTGTTTTGTCTTTCTATTTGAGTACTTCAGTCTTGACTATCTTGGGATTTCTTGAAACTGAGAGACATTCTTAAGTATTTCTGAAGGAACTCCCACTTGGTTGATTTCACTGATGACTTCCAGTTGATAACTCTGGGTTTATAGGCTCCTAAAGGGTTGATTTTTTATTTTTTTTTTTAAACATATCCCCTAGTATGTGAACTGGTTCCTCATTAGGTTTTTAAATATTACACATCAGGTGCTTGTGGACCCTCTGACTGGATTGTTGGTTCCATTTTTTTCTTATCTCCTATGATCACTTCATCTTGAAATTTGGGTGTTCATGGCTGGCATTCCATGTAGTATTTGCTTTATGACTCTCTGGAGTTAAGCTCATTCTGAAGGGATCAGTGGTTTTGGTTGTTTTTTGGGGTTTTTGCCGGGGTGGGTGGGGTGGGGGGGGGATTGGAGGCTGGGTTTTTTATGTGTCTGGTTGTTTTTTGGGGGTTTTTTTGAACCTGAGGTTATTGCTGTAATATTCTTTCCAAAGCCTTGTGCTGCATGGACTGACTGTATTTCATAGCCTAGGTGTCTGGAGGTCCCTTTCTTTTTAACTCTACAAGCCCAAGTTATTTTTGGAATTCTCCCAGTGCAATACTTTTCTCTGCTGAAAATTCAGGAGTTCTGATAACTACAGGCAATATCCATCCAAGTGATGTTGGGAGCCGAGCCACTCAATGTTGCCATTTTGCATGTTTGCTTGAGATCACTTGGTCTTTTGATGACACATTCACTTCAGCATCCAGAACTTTGGTAGGGTGTGTACCAAAGATGGCGGTGCCTGCTTTGGTAGGCACTTCTTGAGTAATGAAATTCTGACATCATCCAATTCTGACACCAACGCAATGGTGTTGCATTGGTATGGAGTGGTGCCTGTTTTTGAAGAAATAAGGTTATTTACTGCTAACCACCTTTGAGATATGAAATCTTCAGGTAGCCTTTTTTCCCCATGGAGATGGTGACCTAACAAATAACAACCTTACTTTTGGAGTTAGTTTACCTGCTTATTTAAGAACAGAGCGCAAACCTCACCCTTATGTGAAAGAATGAACCTACTGTGATTAAGCAAGGTAAAAAAAAAAAAAAAAGTTAAAAAACCCTTAACATCTCATATCAGGAACATTTTATTTGCTTGCAAGTATCCTTATGCTTCTTCTTTTGTTCTTATTAATTTGTCATGCTAGACAAGTTGAAGACCAAAGTCAGTGCACTTTTCCTCTGTCTTCGAAAAGAACTCCGCTCTGTTTACCCAACCCTGTTTTTGTGTCTAATCATGTATTCTAATGAAGTGAATTGCCTTAATGACAAGTAATTTAAAAACACTGAAATGGCAACTTTAAAAACTACATTATCCATTTCAAAGTGTAGAATTGTTTTGTCAGACAGTAGAGTAGTATCATAGAATATTATGCTGGGTTCTGAGGGTTGAAGGGAAAATAATTCATTATTTTTGTAATAGTGATGACATACTAACTTTTTTTTTAAATGTAAATAGTGTAATATATAAGTCGAAATGTGCTCTCACTCCTGCTTGTGCTTCAGTTAATTGAGTTCTTTGGTTTTGTTCTTGTTGAAAATAATGTTACAAAAGATGAAGATACTGTATCTTTGTACACTGTCTTGCCTCATTTACCTGGAATGTTGTTCTTGCAGGAAGGATTTAAAATTTGTCAGTGACATTGAGAAGGAAATGAGAATGCTTGTGGAAGCTGTGAATAAGGTCAGTATTCAGATACTCTGTATGACTTATAAGAAACAGTTTTGTTTAGTGTGAGGGGAGTTTGATGTTACTAAACTTTATTAACACTAATAGTTCTGAGTTTAGACTAGATCTGTTTGGGCTCCAATAGAGTGCACAGTTTAATTATAAATAGAACAAAATTTTTAGGAGATATAGTAGTTCAGGATCACTTTGGTGACAGCCAAGCTTTGTTTAAAGAATTAATCAGTGCTGGGCTTTAATGCATCAATGGTTTATCATTAATGTTTTGATCTCCATTAATAAAGTATTAATCATCAATGATGGTGTTTAAAGGTTCAGACTTTGAGGAAGAAAGCCTAGGTGGTTCTGATTCCTGTAGTGCAACTTGCTCACAAATTTGTGAATAACTTTGTGCATTTACCAGTGTGTGAGGTAGTCCTCATTCTATAAGGAGTCTTGGATTCAGCCACAGTTGTTTGGCAGTCTCCAGTGTACCTACAGAGGTTGATACCACAGACCCAATCATAGTTTTTTTCAGTGAAAGCAGAATCCACCTTCAGACTTGTCAGGCTAGCAGACTCCTGGCTTGCTGCTGCACTATGCCTGACCCAGTATATGTGGTTCAAAGGGTGGTGTAAACCATACTATCCTCAGTTGCCCTTAGCTCAAGAAAGACTTAACCTTCTGTAGAAAGCATTAATTTCCTTCCATCTACCCCCTGAGGACAGTTACTTAACTTTATTCCTTCTTTTTTATGTATGATGTTTCTTAAACAATCTTTGTGCTTGTCCACCGGTCTAATGTTCTTGCCCATTGTTTTCCACATTGGAATGAAAGTCTACAAGGGGGCCAACTGTGTCTATATCCAGGCCCCTCTGACCTCAGGCACTTGGTAACAGACGCATAGAACAGTTGTTATCGCCTGAAAATAATTTGCCTGATGTTGTGTTGCCTGTGGTTATCCTATTTTACATATACCTTTATATACTGCCTTTATTACACACGTGTGTGTACACACATACATATTTCTCTATATATGATAATTGCATATACCAATGTTTATGCCCATACTAATACCAAACCAAGATATGTAATATATATTAAAAAAAGAAGGGCAACCACAGGTCTTGAATTTGCGATATACAATGAATTAATGACATCAGATATGACCAATTATTTGTTAAATAATGAGCCTACAAAGCAGACCAATGGTGTCTGTTAAAGACTTGTCTACGTTGCAGAAGAGAATGAAAAAATTAAAACAAACCAGATGTGACAATCTTTTCCCTGCCTGACCTAAAGGGAGAATTACCCAGTAGTTACTTAAGCTTTTATCATGATCAGGATTAACCAGTTAGGCCTACATGACAGTTCAGTATCTCAAGGATCAGTTCTGCACCATCCTGCCCCTCAGGCTGTTGGGAATTGCTATTCCATAAGGTATGAGTATTTCCCATAAGTCAAATTATATTTCAAAGGGGAAGAGATTTCTTTCTGAACACCAAAGGCATGTGACAGAAGCCTTGAAGCTTGGTATCCATATATTATAATGCAAATGCAGATAAGAAATCATTCTTCTTTCATGAAGTTTTCAGAAAGCAAATGCAACAGTTACCTGAGGAGTTCCGTGGCAATCTCAATGTTCTGTCCCTAAAAATTCTCTATTTAGTTACATATTAACTTTCACAAGGCTGTCACATTTCTTCTTGAAATGTTTAGATTCCTGATAACCAGTTTAATCCAGATAAACAGGTGCCCATTCTAGATCTGCGTTATTCACATTGCTTACAGACTTCCTGTGCTTCTCCACGTGAGCCCATTTGGTAACAGTAGATTGACTTGTGCCCTGCTACACAAGGCTGTAGTTGTTTCACAGAATCACGGAATGTTTGAGGTTGGAAGGGTCCTCTGGAGGTCTTGTACAACCCACGCTGCTCAAGCAGGGCTGTCTAGAGCCAGTTGCCCTGGACCATGTCCAAACAGTTTTTGAGTATCTCCAAGGACGGAG